CCAGAGAGAACCACACTTGCTTCGCTAGGAATGAAGCAGCACACCAATGGGCAAAGGGTATGGGCGACCTATCTGCTGCGCTAGAGAAAGAAAGTGCTTCGGGCTGCTTTGCTGCGCTAGAGGAAGGAGACTGATAAGGAGAGGAGTGATCCAAGCTCAACTCGATACTCCACTCATCTTTCTCGATTCTATTGACATAATTTGGTTTCTTCTATATTAGTGAAATCATTACATGACAGTGGATCTTGCTTGGTACTTGTCCGAGGGGAGATCCATACTCGACTCATCTTTCTCAATTCTACTGACATGATTACTTGGAATTGATTGTCGTGAACTCAATCTCTCATATAGGCATAGTTGAATTGAATATCGCGAAGCAAAAACCCAAACTTGAATATCGCGAAGCAAAAGCCCAAACTTGAATATCGCGAAGCAAAAGGCTACATCAGACGATGTACAAGTTTTTCAAAAATGATTTGATCGATTGGTGTGTTTCGATATATATATATCTGTAATATATATATATATATATATATATATATATATATATATATATATATATAAATCTCGCATATTTGTTATACCAAAAGTCTAAACATACATAGCTAATTTGCGACAAATTTACAACAAACTTTTGTAATCATTTACTTATTTATTTTATAAATATAAAGTAAACAATTAAAGATTGATTTACGACAATTTTCTCCAGCAATTTTTGTGTCATACATAGAAAGTTTCATGGATTTGAACTTAATAAAATTAAAACAAAATAGTGGCAAATTTACTATAAGGTTACGACATAATTGTAGTACCAACTTTTTTGTTTTGTCTAATTAGATTGAAATTTATTTACTACTTTACAACGGTTTTCAAATATAAATCTAAAACAACATTTTTGTTTTGTTCCACATCTAAAATCGAGAGAACGTTATGGAACACATATACCGGAAACAACAAATGAGTATTAGTCAGCTAATCTATATAAATTCACTTAACATCCCTACAATAATCTATATAAATTTGTATTGAAACTCGTTTTATCCGTAAAATAATTGAAGACGATATTATTTTTCTAACGAAAATAACAAACAGTCATATACATATTTTGAATAGTGTATGAAGACGAGTGAGTGATCAGCCTTAACCAAAAACGGTTTTGTGCAAAAAAAACATCAAAGTCGTCTATTTTTGCAACTTTATCTTCCACCTCTGAAAAATGTAGAATAATCCTACGAAGTCAAAAAAAATACGCAATATAGCCCATATACATATATTGTAAACGTATTTTACGATCACACACATTTGATTTTTAAAAATCTAAAGGTAGAGTTGAACTCCTCGTGTTGAGGGCTTCGATTTGATATATTACTTATCAAATTTTTAAAAACTTGACAATTGCAGAAAAAATGTTATATTGCGTATTATTTTTAACTTCATATGATTATTCTACATTTTTCGGAGGTGTAGAGTAAAATTACAAAAATGGGCGACTTCGAGGGTTTTTTTTTGCACAAAACCCAACCAAAAACTATTAAAATTGATTGATAATACCTTTTTAGTAAACAAATAAAAATTAATCTAAATGTTGAGTGCTTTATTGATGTAAATTTGGTTTTATTTTAATATTATATGTCTTTTTTAATATGGACTTTTATGTCTAATATAGAATAAATATTAGGTCATCGTCCTATAATTTAGATAGATTATTTCATAATTTGTTGTATTTAAATGAATTTTTTTTTTTACTAGTGCGAGATATGTATATATAACACTAATACCAACACTTGTAAATATTATTGTAAATATTACGTAATCTATATATATAATGGGAGAGTTTTCTCTCCATCTAGGCTATCCACATCAACATCCACATCAGCGTCCACCTAAGCATATATTTAATTAAAAATTATAATTTATATAAACTATTTATTTAATACATACTTATTTGTATTTATTATTATTTCTGATTAAAAAATTAAGTTGAATCCAAATGAATTAATGTTATAATTATAAAACAATAAAATATGTTATATGTAATAATATAATTTGAACTTTAGTGAAAAGTTTTTAAAATTAATCATATTTAAAATTTTAGAAACATTTCAGTTTTTAAACTTATATTAAAAATTAATATGTTGGGTATTTCTAAAATTGTATGAAAGTTGAAAGGTCATATATTTTTCAGTTAAAAAAAAGATAGTGATGAATCTTATGACATATTTAAAAGCAATACATTGGGTATTTTTAATATTGTTGTGAATTCAGACTCATGCGGTAGATAAGGTGATACAACCAACTACTGTTGAAGTAGCTCACGAAATCTTGGTCAAGAACTGTAGTTAAGTAAGGTGATTCTATTCCATCATTTTGTCGATTTGTTGCACAATTTGGACCATCGATGAGAACCCATTGCGATGAATTCTTGCATTCTCCAAAATAAGTAGATGGAGAATTAAAAAATAGATCTTAAGAAGTATGTTATGTTGACGTTTTCCATGTGCCTGAAATCAAACTTGCTAAAGTACTCTCCCAATCAGGATCAAGACGATGTTGAAGGAGCAAGACCGCGACCTCCGACCAAACTGTAAAAGTGAATGGGTGGGCGAAGAAGAGATGGTTTCTAGATTCGTCTCACTCTCTGCAAAGAAACACATGGTTGAGCAAGTCCTCAAATCCGCATATGTGTTCTCATCGATAATCAATCACGAACCGCGAGCCATGTTATGAACTCACATCTTGGAATAGTATAGCCAAATCACATTGCTCTATTTCAAACCATATAGTAGAGATGCTTTTAATCGGAGAAGTGCTTTTAACATGCTCCCATGTCTTAAGACTCTAGAAACTATGATGAAAATCATTAGTTCCCCATCGCTAGAGAAACCGATTTGGTCCATTGTATGTAGACGGATTTGGTGTTGATCAGAGTTGTTCTATAACCGGGATAAGATGTGGAAGACATGTCCTTCTTAATCTCCAGTCGTTTTGTCTCATAGCTTCTTTAATCGAGGCTTTAAGTAGAATTCCTATGATTCTTGGTCCGGCCTCACATGTAATGATTATTAGTCTCCCTATAGGCAAGCAATGATCTAACTATAAAAATGTATGCACATCACCATTGTTGACAACCACACACGTATGAATGGTTTAATGTCCTCTCAGAGTTTAAGTAGTTTCCGCCAAATCCAAGAGCCCATTGTTGAATGTGGAGCTGTATAGAAGGAATAGTTTAGCGGTCATAGGATTACTAAATTGAACAATGAAATACTAAAAAAAAAGATGGTTAATATATGTATTTTATCATAAATGGACATGTTAATATTATAATTATCACTTATAATATTTCTAATATTTTTTATATAACAGTAGTTTTACCAATTAAATTTTTAAATATTTTTAAAATAATATTATTATAACAAAAATATTTAAAATAATGTAACGTAAATTTACAAAATTATAAAAGTTGAATATATATTGCTAAACCCACGCAACGCGTGGGTCCAATTTCTAGTTATTTAAATAGACTAAGAATTTTGCTGAAGGCGACAAGTTACCATGACAATTTTGTTAATAACACTTGAAAATAATGTTTTTTTTCAAAAGTATTTCTCAATTAATATATAAGGGATATGAATAATAATTTGTCTGGTAAAAGTTTCTGAGTTATTCTTCCATGATTTTTTAACTTTTGAAAATATTTAAATAATTCAGAGAAAAGCTAAGAAAGAATATTATTGAATTTTTCATTTTAAAAAGGGTTATATTAATTGATATGCATAGAAGACTGAAAAATTAAAAATCTATCCCTACTTATTTTTTAATTAGTTCTCTTTCCTTTGACCCAATTAATACCCAAACCACCCTCAGTTATTTGTGAGCACTAACAAAAATAATAACAGGATAAATCATATTGTATCACGGTAACTTTAAAAGTTATATGGTTAACTTATATTTATGGTACTAAAATATTTATCATATGATTTTTATCAACTAACTTATATAATAAAATGTTTATTTATTTTAATAATTTATTTATTATCGCTAACTTATACATTAACAGATTTATTTATCATGATAATTTGTTTATCACAGTTAACTTATGCATTAGCATCGTTAACTTATGCATTAGCATATTTATTTATCATGATAATTTGTTTATCACGGTTAACTTATGTGTTATCGTGGACGTAAAAAATAATAAAATCTCCTTCTCTTCTCGAGTACCCTCTTCTGTCGTCATTTTCCCAAATTTTATTCTTCTTCCATTGTCACCTGCAACTCCATCCCATGATCACCTCACCACTTTCTCTTCTTCTTCTCTCCTCCTTATTTCCTTTATCTTCGTCCTCTCCATCTTCATTTTAAATTACAAAACCATAATTTTCATCCTAAATTCTTCAAATTAAAAGTTTAATCCATCCCAAACTCGTGTAGATTCTCTCTATTTTTGTGAATTATTTGGTGATGATTGTATGTTACATATCAAAAAGATGAATTTGATGAACCAAATGAAGAGTTAGATATAAAATCTGTTTGTGAAGAAAAAGAGGTGACGATGAAGAAAGAAGAAGATTTGGAAAGAGGAGGATTTGGAAGAAAAACAGATAATTAGGTGTGTAGAAAAAGGGTAAAATGGTAAAATTATCATTCTCTCTCTTATCTACTTAATTAATAAAAAAGCATGGATAGATACTTAATATTTTGGTCTTCTGAGCATAGATACTGATATTACTCTTTTAAAAATTAATAAAAGTTAACATGGTATAAACCATGTTATTTTAAAATCCACATGTGATAGTAAAAAGTTTCTAATCCATATAAATTTATAAATCAATTAAATGCATAAACCATACAATCCCCTAAATATTTTGTTAAAATATATTTTTATACATTTATAAGAGATTTTTCCCGAAGTACAAAAAAAACAAAAAAGTATTTTCGCAAACAGCCCTACGAATAATCTAAAAGGCTCTGGAAGTTTAATCGTGGACACAGCTTAAACCCTAAAAGAACCCTTTCGTTGAATAAACAAAAACCAAACGCCTTCAAAAATCAAAATCTCGATCCAGATCTCATCTTCTTCCTTCTTCCGCCACAAGCTATGAGGAGAGTCACCGGACTTGCTGCTCGCACAATCTCATCCTCCGTCGCCATCAATCCACGTCTCTCTCAAACAATGGCGATTACAACGATTTCTTCCTCCGAACCAATCTCCCGAAGATTCGGTGGTCTTCCAGAGATATCAACGCCGTCTTTTGCCGGCGGAGTCGCTGGGATTGTGTTTTTCTCTGCCGCTGCTGCATCGTCTCTTGGTCAAGAAGTTCACGCTAAGGAAATGGCTCAGAAGTTTAATCCTAAAGAAGTTGTTCTGTATCAGTACGAGGCTTGCCCTTTCTGCAATAAGGTTAAAGGTAATCTTATCACGCTAATTTCGAATTTGCTGGATCTGATCAGATTTTGAACATTTTGCTTTTCATGATTCAATCTTGGGGAAAATTGTTCTTTAACTCATTGATTCTTGCTTAGAGGTTGAAAATAGTTAGAGAAATTTGAATATTGTCAGAAATTACGAATTTGATACTTCTGCTGAAAATAGGATAATCAGTGCAAGTGTTTATGTCAAAGGCTCCTCCAAAATTAGCTCAGAATGCATAAATTAGCTCTGCCATTAACCTAGAGTGCCTTGGATATTCTCTAAGTTCTTGCTATGAAGGCAGAGTGGTGGTTTGGAATTCCATTTGATCGTCGTTGTCTGTGATTTAGTAACATATTGATGATTAACCGGTTTTTACTGGTATGATATTTGGGCGATTGTTTATCGTTTGTAGCGTTCTTGGATTACAACAAGATTCCATACAAGATTGTTGAAGTGAATCCCATCAGTAAGAAAGAAATCAAATGGTCTGATTATAAGAAGGTGCCTATTCTTACTGTAGATGGTGAACAAATGGTTGATTCTTCAGGTTTGTCCTATGTTCTGTCTCTAACCTGTATTCTTCTTTCTGAAACAAATGTGTATTACCTTAGTTGAGTAATCTTTGGTTGTATGATGCAGTGATTATCGATAGCTTATTCCAAAAGATGCACCCTGAAATTTCTAAGTCTGAAGAAGATGAAGAGACTAAGTGGCGCAAGTATGACCGTTTTTTTTATTTAGTGGGACATATACTGGTTCTAGTTTAAGATTTGTGACATTACAGACCTGAGGCTGATTATGTATCTACCTGTTTTAGGTGGGTGGACAATCATCTTGTGCATCTCTTGTCACCAAACATCTACAGGAATACTTCAGAGGCTCTTGAGTCCTTTGATTACATCACCACCCATGGTATGGCTATATTCGATTTTGCGTCTTACTTTTTCCCCTTCTTTATATACTCATTTTGTTTTTATATCCTTTTGGAAGATTTGAGGGTTAGCATTTTAACTAGATGGGTTCTTGGGAGTCCCAGTTTTGGGAACCTTTACACGTCAATATACATCTAGAGAAAGCTTTTGCAGGAGGAGTGTATATCTTGTCTAAGTCGTAATGTTGTGCCCTGTGCAGGGAATTTCAGTTTCACTGAGAGATTAGTGGCAAAGTATGCAGGAGCAACGGCAATGTACTTTGTGTCAAAGAAATTGAAGAAGAAATATAACATTACAGATGAACGTGCGGCTCTTTATGATGCTGCGGAGACATGGGTCGATGCCTTGAAAGAGCGTCCATACCACGGTATGTCCAACTTGCAATATAATACTGAATGTAGTAAAGAAAAGACTATGCAAAACCATAGTCCCTACTTTCTTCATTGGTCCATGATTAGAGTTTCTGATTGTCAGGTGGGTCGAAACCAAACTTGGCCGATCTTGCTGTATTCGGTGTTCTGAGGCCAATAAGATACCTTAGATCGGGTAAGGATATGGTGGACAACACACGCATAGGTGAATGGTATTCTCGAATGGAGAATACAGTCGGAGAGCCTTCAAGAATCAAAGAATAAAGGATCTAGTGAAAATATGAATTGCATAATGTATCGCTGACTTCACGGCGTAACAATATTTTTAAGTTTTAGGGCTAGAGAAAGAAACAAAGAAACTAAAGGAAATAAGCATATCTTCTTGTTAATGGGGGATTTTGAATACTGTGACATGCTTGGTTTGGCCCTGTTGCTATTTCTAAAGAGTCATTTCTTTGATTTCTTTCATATTTAGAAAGAATCACTGATCGCTTGTTTTCTGTTTTCTATTGATTGGATTTTTATGTTTATACATAGACAATAAACTAGTTTGTACGTAATTATATTCTTTCATTGACAATTATTGAAACGTGAAGTATTTTTTTCTCTTTATTTGCACTGCTTGGATAAATCTCATGTGATATAAAGAAATTCTAAACTAACAATATAATCGAGCAATGATTTTTGACGTCTCTAAACTTTGACCAACCTACGGGAAAATTTTGTAAATTACGAGCCTGTTCTTTTTTAAGAGTCGCCAGCGACACAGTTGAGCGACAAACAAAACTACTCCATTTTTAATATATTTTAAAACCAGCGTTATGTTATCAGGTCAGAGAGTCAGAGACAAAGAGCATCCAGTCGTCGATGGAGTCGCTTTCGCTTAAACTCGTCTCCAAAAAAAAATGGCGACACCAGCAACAGAATTTTTGAGGAAGAAACTCTCTCGAAATAAAATGACAGCGACAGAAGAAAGAGAAAGGAAAAGCATTTGTCTGTCGGTACGTGCTGTCACCGGCGACGTACAAAAGAACAGGGCTTACATCATCGTTTTGAAAATGAATGTCAAACACAAGCATTAGGCAAAATAATCGGCACAATTAGACGGACAGGCATGCAATTAGTAAACATGTGGTAGTGCCAAAAATTTGGCATTCTATTTTTCGAAAAATCTCATCTCATCACTATATAAACATGTGTATCATCATTCAATCTCCTTCGGGTCTTCACTCTTTCTAGGAAATTTTTTCTTCCATATAAAAAACAAAAACCAAAAAAAAGGGAAAAAGAAAAAACAAAAATCTATATATTTTACTGTTCAATTTGATTTTTTATATCGAAATTTTTTATATTTTGATTCTGTAATGTCACGTTTGGTGTATATAATCTTTTTGCTAGTAGTGGTAGAAGGTAGCAGGAACACATTAGATCAAAATACTGAAACCAACGCAACAGAAGCCAAAGTAGAAGGTATATGTACTGAAACAAAAGCTTCCACAGTTTCATTCATGTTCTCTGTTAAAATTTATAGAATTTGTTTGTCAAAACTAACCTAAGTCAACTCATGTCATTTCATTTAAGGATATTAATTCTTTTTTTCTTAGCAAATCTCGGCTCAAAGAATATAAGGGTCCTTGGGCGAAAATTGTTTTTTTGGCATATTCTTGTTATTAAAATTTTTGTTTTACTATTTTTTCTAATCAAAATTTAGCTAAAACTTTATATAAAAAATCGGGTAGCTAGGTGTTTCTTACATATATATATATTTTTAATTTAGGTTTTGATTTATTGGAAATTAGTAATCATTCGGTGGAACATACTTATTTTCACAGTACATTTTACTTTATAATATTTAAATTTACATAATACCATTGCCAGCTTCAGTTAAATTATTATTTTCAAATATTGTTGTCATTTAAAAATTTAATAAATTAGAATTGTTTATGAAAAAGGTACAATAAAACTACCCCCAAATGTTTCTATTCCCGGTGTCATAACATTTGGAGACTCGATAGTGGATAGTGGAAACAATAACCACCTCCGTACAGCATTAAAATGCAACTTTCCTCCTTATGGTAAAGATTTTCCAGGCAAAATTGCAACTGGAAGATTTTCTGATGGAAGGGTTCCATCTGATATTGTTGGTAAGTATAATACTATAATCTAATCTCTTCATTTTTTAAATCACTAATTTCTAAGAGTTAGATAATGACTAATGCTGAAGTTACTAATAAAAAATAACAACTAGCCAGTTACAAAACTAATCAAAATGTAAATTTAGTAAAACTACCTTTAAAATTCTGTCAATTTTATGTTCTGATAAATGAATATACCAATTGTGTGGTTGCAAAAAAAAAAAAAACTAATTTTTAACGCGCTAAATAATAATGTAAAACTCCAATATAATAGATCACACATTTATGCAACGTAAGAACATATATCCATTTGATAAATTAATTATCTACATATAAAATTAGCATGTTACGAGAAAAGATCACACATCCTGCAATACTTAGAGGATATGAGAAGGCGTATTAAAACTTCATTTGATAAATGTGATGTTTATGTTGAAAATTAACAATAATACATAGAAAAATTGCTTAAACTGTAATAGTTAAATTAAAATGGATAAACCGTCTAAAATATTCAAAACTCTTTTATGTTTCCTTGGATTAATATTGAATTTTTATTTTCCTAAATATGGTATTTTCTAGTATCTCTATTTCTTATAGAATGCTTTATCTAGTTATCGAATGTGTCGAGCGATGATCATTGCATTCGTGATACATGTCGGGACAACTTATGGTTTTTGTTTGATAAAATATATGGCAGCGGAAAGACTAGGAATAGCAGAAACAATACCAGCATATTTAAATCCAAAGCTCAAAAATGAAGATCTTCTCAAGGGTATAAATTTCGCTTCTGGTGGTTCTGGTTACGATCCATTAACAGCTAAACTAGTGGTACGTTTAATATATACTTTAGTTTCTCAATATTTTTTTTTAGTCTTTTCATTAATTTGTTTTTCTTGCAATGTTCTAGAAAGTGGTATCTTTATCAGATCAACTAAAATATTTTCAAGAGTATAAGGAAAAAATAAAAGGAATAGTTGGCGAAGAGAAAGCCAATTTCATGGTGAAAAATAGTCTTTACCTTGTGGTAGCCAGTAGTAATGATATTGCTCATACATATACGGCACGCTCACTCAAATATAACAGAACCTCGTATGCTGATTATTTGGTTGGTTTCTCTTCTAAATTTGTCAAAGTAAGTAAAATATTTGATTATGTCATAACCTCATTTATATTGTTTTCCATTTAACTTTGGCTTTTCACTACTATCAATTTGAGATTCATATGTAATGTGTGTATCATAGGACTTATATGGACTTGGAGCTCGAAGAATCGGAGTATTTAGTGCAGTACCAGTTGGATGTGTACCAGCAGCCAGAACAGTTCATGGAAGATTGAAGCGAAAATGTTCAGACAAACTAAACGAAGTGGCTCGTCACTTCAACGTAAAGATGTTTCCGACATTGGAGGCTTTAGGAAAAGAGTTGCCGGATAGCAAAATTGCGTTTATTGACGTATATGACACTCTTAATGATATGATCGAAAACCCTAAAAACTATGGTAAGTACGAATACACTTCCCTTTTTCTCACTAAAAATGTTACTTAATTATTTTTGTTATGTCGCTAGTAGAAAAATTAAAGTGTGAATTTCTTACTTAAAACCTAAAAATGGTGTGAATTTTTGAATATTTTATGCATCTAACATAACTTTCAGAAATGCTCCAAAAATTAAGATATTCATATATGGATATATAAAATTAACTAACATAAATATGTTACAATTACATAGTACTTAGATATATAAAAATTCTTAACTAGATGTTTTAAAAAAATTTCTTTTTAAGAATATTAAAGAGATAATTTTGAAAGAAACTCATAAATAACCATTACTTACTTCATATTATTAACTAATCTATATATATAATTAGAGAGTCTTCTCTCCATCTAGAGTATCCACATCAGCATACATGTCATCATATTATATATTTTTGTGGGCTCCACTTTATTATTAAAACAAAAACATTACAATAAAAGTAATTCACACACTTTATCTTACAAAAAACATTAAAAGTAAAATTAATTCACACATTTTTTATTAAAAAATAGACGTATTTTAAAATTAGAATAATTTTTATATGTTCGTATGTTACACATTTGAGAAAAAATAATATTAAGAATACTATGTAGAATCATAATATACGCCAAATTATATATGTGAAAAGAGAATTTTATATTTTTCAGTTGGTCAAGATAAAGTGTAATATTTTACGTTTGAATCTGATGTTTGTAAATAGGAATGAGTCTACATATGAGAGTTTTTTTTTTCTATAAGGCAATTTTAAATACACCAAAACATGGTAAAAAAACTTTATGAATAAAATTTCCCAGATATTCTCATGTTAACTTTAATAAAAAAGATCATGCAACTTATAAAAACAATAGAGTATCGAAAGATAGGAAGGAGGAAATTCAGACGATCTATCTTAAGAACTAATTCATAGTCGAATATATTATATGTGAGTCAGTATAAGGTGAATAGAGAATAGATTTCGAGAGACGATGAATAAATCATAGAAGATAACGAGAGAAATTGTAGTGAAATGTGTGAGAAATGTTTTAAAATTTTAGAAAGATAATGCACATGAGAAAACTAAAATCTTTTAAAATTCAAAAGATTATATTTATGCTCAAAAATTTGCTTTGATAAAAGTTTTATATTAAAATCCCGCGCAACGCGCGGGTACATAATCTAGTGCTTATAATTGCTTCAAATATAGATATTTAGGCATTCAAGATATCTTATATGGATCCGATTTTGATACATCCATGAATCTACTATTTGTATCTGGATTCACATACCTCTGATGTCTTAGAGAATACTATATTGGATCTCGAATATTTTGGCCATCGAGATTTAGTACCAAATACTAACTTTATTAGCTACTAGTGACTCACTATCTAAAAATTATTTGTTCTTTTATAGGATTTGAAGTATCAAACAGAGGATGTTGTGGAACAGGATTACTTGAAGTACTCTTTTTGTGCAACAAAATCAATCCTTTTACATGCAAAAATTCATCTTCTTATATATTTTGGGACAGTTACCATCCAACAGAAAAAGCTTACCAAATTATCGTTGATAAGTTGTTAGGAAAATACATTAAGCAACTAGTCTAATTCTAGGTATTTTTATAATGTTCTAAGTAATTGTTCTAAAGTATGTAAAAACATAAAACTTAAATCATTTTTCTACTAATTAATCGTAAAATAATTTCACAAAAAGAAATATTCGTCTATTAACTTTATCTACCATTGCTGTTTCCCGATCGTTAACTCTTTTTATCTTTTCTTTCTCTACATGGAATCCGTCTTCTCCGTTCCTAAGGCGATTTACATTTGCAATAAACTTACGGCCACTATAAGTCCATAGGCAAACCTGTAATTGCCGAACTCCATATTGTGATCGATAAAAAATTCTCCGTTTCTCCCGTTAAACCTATTATACAAACTTTGTTAAATCTCAGCATCAACTATATGGTTTCTGATCTAACATAATTGAACACCTAGTCACTCTTAGCTTGTTATATGGATCAGATGATCCATGAAAAACTCGAAATTAATGTTTCTAGATGTAATGACACTCGGTTGTCTCCAAAATAAAAAGTCCATGCTTTGAATAAATCAAAAGCTCAGAAAAAAGTTATGGAGCCAAAAGAATATCAGAAAGAGCCCACGTTTGAATACATATTATTTAGTTTTACGATTTAATTATGGAATTGCCACCTAAACCGGTGAAGAAACCAAATAGTACAATTTATATTCATACGTACGTGAATGAGAAGAAGTAGAAAAAGGCATCCACTAAACATTGTACTTTGTGGACAACGGAGTCAAAGACATACCGTTTTGAGTAGGCCTGGGCATTCGGATTTCAAATCGGATTCGGATCGGATATATTCGGATTCGGATAATTCGGGTATGTGAGTTTATTATCCGTTCGGATTTTATGATTTTTCGGTTCGGTTTCGGTTCGGATATATTCGGATTCGGATAATTTGGGTAGGAGAATTTATTATCCGTTCGGATTTTATGAGTCATCGGTTCGGTTTCGGTTCGGATAAGTGTCGGATTCGGATCGGTTTTCGGGAAAAAAAAAACTTAAAAATAGTTCAATGTTAATAAAAATTGGTTTAATCTTACTAAAATGTGGTTAAATTTTGCAAAAATATGTATAATTTTAACAAATATAACTAAAAATTTTCCGAAATCTAGGATATTTAGGAAATTTTTGTTATTTGCTATAAAATTACAACTAAATATAACTAATATTTTTGGATATATAATTTTTATTTCCGGTTTTCGGATATCCTTTCGGTTTTCGGTTCGGATCGGGTTCGGTTCGGATAATTCGGATAGGAGAATTCATTATCCGTTCGGATTTTGTGACTATTCGGTTCGGATTCGGTTCCGGATTTTTCGGATCGGTTTCGGATCGGTTTTCGGATTTCGGGTTTTATGCCCAGGCCTAGTTTTGAGACACCGTGGCTTTTGCTTTTCTTAGAATAATAATAAAAAAACCAATCATGTTTTTTTTGTTCGACAGTATTTGGTAGGTTGTTTTAATATTATTAAAAACATAGGGCTTGTTCTTTATCTAATCGCTGCGACTCTGTCAGCGACGGAGCAAAACGACAGTGACGGGAGCCAAGCACAAAGCAAAACGGCGATAACGCTTTGACAGAGGTGTCGCAAGAGAGAGAGAGAGGGGGTGTCGCGTTACAGAAAATGAATCGCTGGAATTTCGAGCGACTGTTCCGGTGACTCCTTTAACAGCAACGGCGACTCCTTTCAACAAAAGCGGCGACTCCTTTTAATGATTTGAACTCCGTCGACGTCTATTTTGGAGTCGCAGAAAGTGATCGCTGCGACCACGTGCCGAACAGGGCCATACTTATTATTTGTTTGAATATGTTTAAAGCAGACTTGGTTGTTTAGAATTGTAATATCAAATGTCAAAATCCATCAACTTTCATCAAAATTCGTTATTGTCACGTAGACAATAAATCTCTCGTACCACAAATAAAATATTTCTAAAGTCGTTTTTTTTTTCTTTTGTTTTGGTCAGTCATTTTCAGGAATCTAATATTATCAATCCTTTAACTCTACTCCACCGCAACGACATTAGTTGTTTAGAGTTTCAATATCAAATGATATTACTCGTTACAATTTCGTTCTTGTTCTATTGAACTTTTTTCCTTTGTTTTGTTTTGTCATTTTCAAGAATCTAAATTATTAATTCTTCAACTCTACTCCACCACAACCAAAACGAGTCTTGTCTACATGACCTAATTTGCTTAACAACCTTATCATCTCACTAACAACTCCATCTCCTAAAATTTAAACTCCTTTAACTATGCCTATAAAACATTGATCCATTCTTCATCACATAAGCAACCCAACAAGTTCATCCTAAATACATTTCTTTTCAATCAAGAAATTAAAATCTGGAAAAGTTTGTTGAAATGAATGCACACATGCTCAATCTCCTTGTCATGGTCATCTTCGTAGTTACTTTCGATGTCCAAGCACTCAGTCCTCACTACTACGACCATACGTGTCCACAAGCCGACCACATTGTCACCAATGCAGTCAAGAAAGCCATGTCAAATGACAAAACTGTCCCTGCCGCGCTTTTGAGGATGCATTTCCACGACTGTTTCGTCAGAGTAACAACTACTTACACACTACATTCTCTTCATCTCTCAATCTTCTATGTGTTTATACTCTAATTAATGTTGTTGGTGAATATTTTTGATCATTAAAGGGATGTGATGGGTCAGTTCTTTTAGACTCAAAGGGAAAGAACAAAGCAGAGAAAGATGGACCTCCTAACATTTCACTACATGCATTTTATGTGATTGACAATGCAAAGAAGGCATTAGAAGAGCAATGTCCCGGTATCGTCTCTTGTGCCGACATTCTTTCACTCGCTGCAAGAGATGCTGTCGCACTCGTGAGTCTCCATCTCATATTCCAAATGCTAATTTTATTTGATGATTCTAATGATCCACCTAAAATATTATTTGTTGTTGTTATTATAGTCAGGAGGGCCTACATGGGCAGTTCCAAAAGGGAGAAAAGATGGAAGAATATCAAAGGCAATAGAAACAAGACAACTACCAGCTCCTACTTTCAACATTTCTCAATTGCGTCAAAATTTTGGCCAAAGAGGCCTCTCTATGCATGATCTTGTTGTTCTCTCTGGTATTCTCTCGTTCACTTAAGTATATCTACAAAGATTTCTATACTTTTTTTTATTAAACTATGCTAAAAGATGTAACATAGATATCTATGAAAAAAGAAATCTAAATCCTAAAATTAATTGGCAAAATAAAAATTTAGTTCCAATGCTTATAATGGTATGAATTTGGAATGTTGAATGAAATGGCAGGAGGTCACACACTAGGATTCGCCCACTGCTCATCGTTCCAGAATAGGCTCCATAACTTCAATACACAAAAGGAAATTGATCCAACGCTAAACCCATCGTTCGCAGCCAGCTTGGAGGGAGTGTGTCCAGCCCATAACAAGGTGAAGAACGCTGGATCGACCTTAGATGGAACCGTGACATCATTTGACAATATCTACTACAAGATGCTTATTCAAGGCAAGTCACTATTCTCATCCGACGAAGCGCTTCTCGCAGTGCCCTCTACTAAGAAACTCGTGGCAAAGTACGCGAGTTCCAACGAAGAGTTCGAGAGGGCTTTTGTGAAATCCATGATCAAGATGAGTAGTATCAGTGGGAGTGGTAATGAGGTCAGACTTAATTGCAGAAGGGTTCGCTAGAATCACAATCTACGCTTCCAACATCAAGTTACCACATTTATGTCTTTCGTTTTCTCTCGTCACATTGATTACTTGTGAATGGGCCTTTCAAAAGATTAAGGCAGAGGTTCTTGTATCACATTTATCTATCATTCTCTCGTGTGTGCTTGTATTTGTATAGGCATTTAATTACAAGTAATAAAATATTTTCTTTTTAAAGACTAGGCAGACAAATCTTATCACTTGTGCTCACAACCTATCTAAATGATTGAAGAATTAATAGAAGACCAGACCAACACTCTCTTTTGAGCAACAACTTCAATATGTTTGGTAGTTAAGTATTGAATTTTAACATTCATAACATAACATCCGACCCAATGTCATAGCTGGACCAACACAGAGAAGAGAATGGATATATAGTCAAAGAAAGAAGACAAGACAGAGAGACACAAAGGGGTCGAGGACAAGACAGCAACCAGGTCTTCATTTTTATTCATTCAAATGCCCACTGATTCTCACGGCGAACCTCTTCTTCTTCCTCTGGCGTGAAGTCGTTCTTGATATTGAAAGTCTTGCGGATTTCTTCTGGGGTTTTACCTTTAATCATATCTGCCACTGTTTGGCAGGTCAAGTCCAACAATCCCTTGATATTCAGGTAGTTAGCAGCCTAAAATGAGTCAGAAATAAATCAACTTTAGATTCAAGCTTTCTCTTTAGCTGCTTTAAGCTTTCTCTTTAGCTGCTTCAAGCTTTCAGAATGAAAATGGAATTTTATGGTTTAAGCAAATCAAACATATTGAAGTGGGCGGCGAATACAAAGCGAACAATGACAACAAATCTCAGAGAAAGTCAACATTAACCGCCGTTAAAGACAGAACAAAACATGCCATGTTAGCAGCATAAAATGTGTCACAGAGACACCAATTTAGATTCAAGGTTTCTCATCAGCTGCATGAAATTTTCAGAACAAAGATGGAACTTTATGGTTCAAGCAGATCCCAAAGAAAATCAACAATATCCAATGTTTAAGACAGAACAAAAAAACATGAGTTTGAATTAATATATGTCATTGTTGGACACTAAGTTTCAAGGCTAATTTGATAAGATAAGCAAAGAAGGACTCAAAAGTGGTCTTCAGCTATAAACAAATCCAACACACTCAAAAGAAAACTCTTGAAACTTTGATTTCAACCAGATATAAACATTGTTTAAACTGTGAAATTGGTAATCAATCTAAACAAAACATAAAACCCAGAAATTAGAAATCCATTTAAACAAAACCCAAAAGTTGTTTCTCCCACGAACCCTAAAAATCAGACCTCAAATCGAAATTAAGATTTCGAAAC